AATATCGTATCGTTTTTGTTGTTATGTAGAAAACTATACGATATGATATCGACTCCTTTAACTGTAATCATATAGAAAACTATACGATATGATACCAACTCTTTCAACTGTGATTATGTAGAAAACTATACGATATGATATCGACTCCTTTAACTGTAATCATATAGAAAACTATACGATATGATACCAACTCTTTTAACTGTGATTATGTAGAAAACTATATGATATGATACCGAATCCTTTAACTGTGATCACATAGAAAACTATACGATATGATATCGACTCCTTTAACTGTAATCATATAGAAAACTATACAATATGATATCGACTCCTTTAACTGTAATCATATAGAACACTATACGATATGATATCGACTCCTTTAACTGTGATCATGTATATATCGACTCCTTTAACTGTAATCATATAGAAAACTATACGATATGATACCGACTATTTTAACTAAAACTATACGATATGATATCAACTCCTTTAACTGTAATCATATAGAAAACTATACGATATGATACCACTCTTTTAACTGTGATTATGTAGAAAACTATAAGATATGATATCGACTCATTTAACTGTAATCATATAGAAAACTATACGATATGATATCAACTCCTTTAACTGTAATCATATAGAAAACTATACGATATGATATCGACTCCTTTAACTGTGATCATGTAGAAAACGATACGATATTATATCGACTCCTTTAACTGTGATCATATAGTAGAATACTATACGATATGAAACAATACGATATTATATCGACTCTTTTAACTGTGATAATGTAGAAACAATACGATATTATATCGACTCCTTTAACTGTAATCACAATATCGACTCCTTTAACTGTGATCATGTAGAAAACGATACGATATTATATCGACTCCTTTAACTGTGATCATATAGATCTCCAGCTTGTGTTTTCTTATATGTTAGTGTGATAACGGTTAAACAAGAGTACTGAAGGCGTTACTGAGACCTTATCAGAATAATATTTTTTACTGAGTTGTTAACTGTTATTATTGAATTAATCATGTAAATTCTAAATTATTTGTAAGCAAGGCCTCAGTGTGTAATTTTTAAAATCTATAACTGTTTTAAAAGTAGAGAAACCAATCATTGTGCCTTATGTTCCGATAAACAAACATGAAGATGGCGCTATTGTAGAAATAAACAGTAAGCCATATTTCTCACGAAACACCAAATTCTATAAGATTTTTCTATTACGTTCACAATGAAATAATTATAAGATACTTATCGTTTACAGTGAAAACAAATGTCTTTTTGTTGCTTGTATCTTTGAGCAATAAGAAGAATAAAGCATTACGCAAAAGCACAGATCACAATTATTTTATTTAAATAACGTATAATGCAAAACATAACATGAATCCTATTCAATCATAGCATAACCATAGAAATACCAGAAGTTAATAATTTTGTATTAACGTTTTCGAAACAAAAATTTTGTTCGTTTGTTGAACTTCGCACAAAGTTACACGAGGATTATCTGCGCCAGCTGTTCCTAATTTAGTAGTGATAGACTAGAGGGAAGACAGCTAGCCAAAGCTTGGTTTACTCTAATCGAATAGAAGAATTGACCGTCACGTTACAACGTTCCCAAGACTGAAAGGACGGGCATGTTCAGTGATGGGATTCGACCGTCAGGTTGCGAGTTTAGTGAAACAAAAAATAAGAGCCAGCATGGAGGTTTTTAAACTTACATAGTAATTACATAAAATAATATTTGTAATCACTATTTTATTTCTTACATTGCACACATAACCTATGTCGAAAGTTTAAACAACGCTAAATGCTTATAAAAAATGCAAATGCTGCTAATACCTTGCTAAGTAAAATCAGGTTTTAAAAACTTCATCATAGGAATTCTTTGTTTGCTAAAGCGTGCAAACTAACGTTTTGTGTTTTTTATTGCAACGTTTATAAATAATTACAAGTCAATATATTTCAATAAATGTCATACGAACAGAATACTTTAATTCTGGAGTCTTCATGAAATGATACTTCAAAATTCAAGAGATGCTCAAATAGTGTATATTTAGTAATGCGAACATTCAAAGCTCAACAAAACTGAAATAAGTAGGTTCAGAAAATCTGGACTTCTTCCAAAAGACTATAGGTATCGAATATAAACTAGATGAAGTGTAATTTTCATGGGAAACTGATGTTTTCCATACAGGAAGAAAAACAAAATTGTAATTTTACATAAATCAATTTTCGAAAGTGAGAAGTATAAGTTGCACCATAAGAAAAGACGCATCACTTTCTTTAAGTAGATAAAGGAATTTCTTACTCTTCCTGCATTCTTGAAATGACCTTTTGTTTTCAAATCCAACAAATATGACACAAAGTTAAGAGAATTAAAATGTTGTTGCTGATTAACATTAAAAAGATACATGAGAGCAAGTGAGTTTTATTTTGTTCATTTCGTATTCAAATGTTTTGTTCTTGTATATATATATATATACATATACAAAACATATATCGTCTAGTTATTGGAATAGGCTATATTTTCCACACTGTAACCTCGTTCTATTTAAAATAAGTTTGCCTGGGTATTATCATTTTTTGCTTCAACTGTAGAGATCATATAATAAAGTTCATATTTATTTTATATGTAAAGAATGCATGTTCTAAAGAAGTGATTCAAACTTTCGAGAATAAAAAAACATCGAAAGTTTCATAAACTTGTTGAACTAGTATATATTTACATACATACACGCATGGTGTCTGCTCAAAAGCACGTAGAGTCAAATATCGTCCAGAAACAGCTGTAATACATGTAGAAGACGTACTGAGTACATCAATTTTTTGTGTTGCTTAAGATGAATTTTCTAGAGGAAAAGTCTCAATTTTACGATTCACTTTGTCCCTAGCCGTCAACTGAGCGCCTTTCGTTCGTTTCCATTTCATTCTGCGGTTCTGGAACCATACTTTAACCTGGTAAAGACATCAAATACATTATGAACATTGTTACACTTAATTTTAAGAAATACTCAATAATAGTAAAAAAATTAGGGTTCACAAAAATACAAGCCATCTATTCGTCCATTTTATGTCGAATTATAGATGATGCTGTTCAAAGATGCAAAGATTCACCTAGTGGCAAGCAAGTGCGACAATAATTAAAATTTGTTAGAAACTTTCCAGTTCGGAAAATACCATTTTATGTATGAGTGTCTTTGTTATTCCTGAATGCTTTGAACAAATATGTGTTTTTTGTGTACAAGTTCATCTATCAGTAAGAAAGCGTGATCAGAATATAACCACGAGTAGGAATTATGATAAAAAAAGCGGTATCTAAAATTTAAATGGCACTTGAGAATTCGAACAAATAAAGTTACAGAAAAGATCCACCCCACATCTCTTTCACAGTATACTACCGCTTCGAGTAAAAAAAAACAAAAACAAAATATGGTATAGTTATGAATGAACTACTAGGGTTACTGTCTTTGCCTCTGGTAATGTAATTTACTTTTCTTTTGTTTCGTTTGGAGCTGTAAACAACTCATATTTAGTGCAAAATAAACATCACGTGTACTAGCTAACCCGTCGACAACATTCACCATACACGGGCCAGGATGTATGACGTCAGAGGAAACACGTGGTCGTATGCTTTTTCAGATGCGTCTTTTTCCCTCAGCTTTTTCTACCGATTATTATAAATCACATGTGAGTTGAGGTGACGAAAAGATGAGAAACGGTAATAGAAACTAATGAAATTTGTACAAACTCACCATCCAAGGTCTGTATCTTTCTTTGTTGTGCTTCGCCAAGAAGTAAGTATTTACTCGTATTTACAACGACGCGTTCAACTTGATACGAATTAGAATATGAGCTCATCCGAACGTTTTTTGCTATCGTATAGGTTTTATTGCAACCGTTTGATCTCTGTGAATTAATGTGCCAGTTTTTAGTGCTGTTGAAGCTTGTTGCCATATATTATTCTGACACTGGCAAGTTTCTCAACCAAATACTTGTAGAGTGGAAAAATATACCGCACGTCCAAACGTATAATGAAATTTGTTTTGTTGAATTTTGCGTAAAGCTGCTCGAGGCTTATCTGCGCTAGTCATTCCTAATTTTGAATTGATAGACCAGAGAGAAAGCAGCTAGTCAACATCACCCACCTCCAACTCATGGGCTATTCTTTTACCAATGAAAAAAAAATCAACTGTCACTTTAGAACGCCTTTACAGCTTAAAAGGCAAGCATGTTCGGTGACGGGATTCGAATGCCCTAACCACCAGGCCTGAAATTTGATAAATGTTATCATTGCAAGAAAAAATAAAAATGGAATCAGAAAGTTCATATAACGATATATCCGTACAAGTGGGCGTACAATGTGAAAGAGTATATGTTGGGATATTCTAGTAACAGAAAGTTATTACTAAAACAAGAGAGTACTACGTACTTACGTATTAAAATAAAAGAAGCATCATACATCATATATAAACCTTCACTGACAGAAAACCACATCCAGACATCCAACACTGGAACAAGTGAATACTAAAAGTCAGACAGGCTTAGCTATATTACCTGTCGTTCTGTGAGATCCAATGCCACTGCAATCTCATATCGTCGTAGTCTTGTCAAATAGTTATGTTGTGCAAATTCGTTCTCCAGTTCCCGGATTTGATGTTTAGTAAACGCTGTCCTTTCCTTTCTTGGTTTAGTACTGAGGTCCAGCTTAAAAATGTCAGGGTCTAAAGAGACATAAGAAATTTATGATAAATATTCTAAAATCTAACTTCGGGTCGATCAAACATTTTTTACCCCATGTTTCTTTCTTTTCAAACATCAGCACAATTTCCTGGAAACGAGGACTAAACTGTATCTTCATCAAAGTATATTTTTGGCGACGTCTGTACAATTGCTTTTACCGATGTTTCATATGAATTCAAATGAAATCTGCTATATTTACGTTTAAAAACAAAACTGAAAATAATATTTAATTGAAATGTACAATATTTCTGAATGGATTTTGCTCAGTATCTAAATTATTCCTTCTTTGTATATTAACTGATAACGTATGATGTCTTTCAAATTACTTCAACTAAATATAGCACTATCTGAAAAACAAACAAGCAAACAAAAACAATTCTATTTTTGTTTTATCTTAATAAAGTCATTTGCGTCTATACGATTCATACAAAATGATATTTTTTTTTAAAATGGCACTTGGATTTTGAATTACAGGATGGTAGATAAACGTGTTGAGGAAAAGCTAGGATTAGCTGACCAATAAGGTTAAACATTCAAAACATTTTGGACCTGACGTATAAATTTTAGCATTAAAAGGTTTGGACTTGACCAATAAATTTAAACATTCAAAATATTTTGGACCTGACGTATAAATTCTAGCATTAAAAGGTTCTGACCTGACCAATAAATTTAAGCATTGAAAAGACTTTGTACCTTACCTATCAATCTAAACATCCACAGACTTTGAGACTGAACTATGCAGCTTAACCCTCAAGAAAATTTGAACCTGAACTGTGATGGTTAATTTTCAAGAAATGTTTAACGTGAATTATGAAGCTTCATTTTCAAGAAGTTTTAACCTGAATTGTGAAGTTTAACTGTCAAGAAGGTTTGAACCTTCCAAAGACAGTTAACTTAACCTTTGAAAATTTAACCTTCAAGAGACTGTGATCTGACTATACAATGGTGCAAATAAGTTGTAAGGAACATGGTGTCGAATTTAGTTTCTTCGGTTTTAAATTCATGATTATTTCAGTGAAATTAATCATCAGAACCAGCATTACTATTATTATGATAGGCACAGCTGGCTGAATTAAGAATTCCTATACGTGGTCACATCTGTCAGTCACCAAAAGATATAAATCAAAATTGTAAAACGCAGCTCATTATCAAAGCTTTTAAATTACATAAATGACGTCTGTATTAAGATAAATAGAAACAAAACTTTCACATCCCGCTTTGCCAAGACCACAGTTCCCATTTAACGGTTGTTTTGTGAGCATCTCAAGTGGTACGCTCTAAACTTCTTCAGCAGAACAAAACGGACAAGTCGTCTGTCCGAGTGTCTATACATAAACAAATTATGCAACTCTTGTCGTTTGTTTGTAATTAACTTAATTTATAAAATTAACTTATAAGAAAGATGCATTTTGTCTAACAGCATATATTTTTATTTTTCTCTGTCTACTATGATAGTTGACTCTTATCACCTACTGGGAGGCTGAGAGGAAATTCTCATAAAAAATTGAAAATAAATCTATACGTCATGCTGTTACCCTGGATTAGCATACTTAGTAGTTCCGGTAAATATAATCAATTTTAGTGGATGTTTATTAAGTTTCAGTATTTGTATACCACCAACTGTTGTGTGTGTGTTTATTTTTATACTATGCACGTGTTTTCAGGGTAGTTCACGAACAGTTGCCCGTCTGTCTGTCTGGTGTCACAAGATCGAGTTTAAATGGTATTAGCAATTCAACGAACGATTCGCATTTGGTAGCCATTTCAAGTTTACCGCCTTAATGCCAGGAATGAGGATTCAACTGAGGAGACGGTTGATAGCAAAATACACCAAGCTTAAGATAGTTGACCAGGAATATTTATAAATTTCGAACATTACAAATCGTTTAACTTCAGTGGATTCTCATTGGACATTAGTATTTTTACGAAAACATTACCTAACTTCAACGGTGGAAAACTCAGCGTGTGTGGCAAAGGACAAAGCTATCTAGCTCCCTGTTAAGTGAATTATACCTACATCAACTCGTAATTAACTCGCTCATCGTGAACCCTCGATAAGATATCAAGGAAGTTCCAAACTAGAAGGAAGACTTTATATTGTTTGTAAGTTTGTGAAACTTTTCTTTATAAATCATTATTTGTAATAACGATTTATAATAACTGTTGTTGTGAATTGTATTGTTGTGTATATATATTAAAACGTATATGTGTAAAAAAAGAAAACTGTGTGTCAATCTTGTT